CGTTTTGAATTCCATTGTAGTTTAGTGCTGATGGAGCTTTATTAAATATTAAAATGAATGCTTCTAAAAATATTGACAGAGTAGCTTTTCTGAATGGTAAGAAAGATCTGTTGGATTAAGTTTAAAAGTATTACATATCTCTAGTGTGGTAATTACTTACATGGATTTTGTTTTTAATGAGTTTTAGCCGTAGCCTACAACCTACTAATTGGACACAGACAAAATTTTAGAAAATCTCAAATTTAAGACTTTTGTTTTTAAAAATAATTATATATAAAAATATATTTTTGGAAAGCATACATTAGGTCTATTAAATATAGAAAATAATATGCAGCGTGTTTCACTTAGAAAAACATATCTTTGCGTCATAACTGAAAAACAGAAGGTACTAGAAAAAAAGTGACTACATCACTGTATTCTATGAAAAAAAGTCTCTAAGAATACCTTTTAACTTACTTGATAAGTTTAATAATAACTGAGTTACGAAGGGGTGCCTCAAAGGTGATACTTTTCAATTCCACTCTGTAGCTCAAAAACCAACACGGATATGAAAATTATGGAGACGCCATCTATAATTTCAGAAAAAGTAGCTCCCTGTCGCGAAAACCGCAGCCTTCTATTTTCAATAATAAAGGAGATACCCCACAAAAATGCCGAAAATGGGATATTCTGTACACAGAGTAGACAATTTTGTAAAGGATAAAATTATATTGTGTAGAATTAGTACCTATTGTGGAATTCAATAAGGTTCGACAAGGTCTTTTTGTAGAAAAGGTTTTGAATTGTTTAACTAACGTTGTATGGCTGCGTGATTCCGACTTATGTACATACGCAACTAAACGAAGTTCGAACTATAATCATAAGTGGCAGACGTGAATCGTGATCTCGATCTCATTAGGACAAAAAGGCACCCCGTGGGCAGTTCCGGCAAAACATACACAAACCTACTGCTGCCATTTTCAACAGATGGCGTTCACACGCTGTCTATACCTATTCATCGAACACTATTTAATAGCCGCCACAAAGCTGGTCTATGTCCCAGTGATGGGCTTAACAGTTCCTATTAACCAGTTCCCAATATGAACTACTTAGTTCTTCAGAATAGTTCGTGAAGTGTCACCTATAATTACTCTTTCAAAGTAAGAAAGAGATCCTTATGTCATACATAACATAATGGCGACAATCACGTGTAAATTTTTATATTCGCGTTTATTGGAGCTATTGGTAACATAATCACCACGCAACAGAACATTTTACACTTGTAATGGCGCTTTTATGTTCTAGAATTTTATTTTTGTTTTATTGTATGTAACTTCGTTGTATTGTTTATTTATAATAAATAAAAAATTTTTTTTTACGTTTTAAAATCTACTGTTCATTCAAGGATGGAATTATTTCATAGCGTTATTAAAGAACCTGTGAATTGCCGAACATGCCCTATGACTTAGATCGATTGATACTAACTTCCGTGTAAATATGTACCTAATGCCGTTCTTTTTTAAGTTTAGTCAATGGTTACTATGAACTCATTCAAATCTATGACGTAAACGAATGAACAATACTAAAGAAATTAATTGTTTAATTTCATTATCTTTTCATTCATTAAAACATGAACTGTTCTTTTTCCTTGTACGAACTATGTAGTTCGTGTAGTTCGCCAAAAAGAATCGTTCTTTTTAATAGTTCGATTCAGTATTATACAAAGAAAGGTAGTTGTTGTATTTATGATTTTGCTTAGTTTTATTTTAGATACTTAATTACTATTATTGATTTTATTGATATCGCCAAACTCTATTAAAATTCTGTGTCATCCTTCAAGTAATTTAATGAGAATAGGAACGGTTCTGAGGTATTGAGAAATTCTAGTCAGTTTCAAAATTTGTTTAGACCAAAGAGCATTGGGTATTACTATACAAATCTAATCCGAGAAAATAAATTTTCTATAGAGTCCTGTAAGAATGTTTCAGTTTACAAAAGTACAAGTACACTTTTTAAGTGACTCTGGCCGGAACTTATCCACGGTGTGCTGATAAAAATACCAGCTACCAAGGACTTATTGTGTGCTTTCAGCTATTGCTCTATTACTTCCGAAAGCTTTATTTTGTATAAATTTAAAATTGAATAATGGAGCCCCCATATAAGTACATAGTTATTCAGAGAGTGACTGCACCTTTACATTGAAGTGCTTTTTAAAAATAAAAGTTTTCCCGCACATTCCATTAAAAAGTCAAAATTAGATTCGTTCGCAATACCGAATAGGTGAAGCGTATGTTGCCGAGATACGCAAATATTGTTAAATATTCACCTTTTACGACGCAAACTGTCACACTGTGTCAAGAAAATGCTTCGAAACTGTAGAAAGCAAACGAAGTCGTGCAAGAGGAAAATTACCCTGTTTGTGAATTTACCTTAAAGCAGTATAAAAACTCCATATTTATGTTGTTGCTCTTAAACCACTTTATGGTCACAGGTCACGTATCGACCAAGCTACCCGGAACAGTACATTATTTATACGACAATTCTTATACAATGTACATTCTCTAGGGAAAATTTACAATATTTATTTAACGTTACGTAAGCTCATCGCTAAACTGTAAACATACCTTTTTATCTTTTTCAAAACACCCTTATTACATAGGAATATAAACACGAGCTTTTCTGTTTAAGTATACATGTCAAGAATTTGCAGGATCATATATTCAGCATAAAAATACAATATATGAAATAATAATAATACACTAACTTTATATAAACAAAAAAGAAGAATTAAAGATAAGAGTAAAATTATAAATAAAAACATTAGTTAAATGAAGAAAAAACAAGTTCTTGAAAGTAGTATTAAATAATAACAAATATAAATCAATACCAACACCATCAAAGACAGTACAACTGCAGAGATAGATATACAGGGGCAAAATTTTATATGCTTAGATTTTCACATGATATAGCAGTATAAGCATCTTGCAAGGAAGAGTTAGAGATAGCTTTAAATAAAATGGAAGTGGTGCTGACAAAACAGTATTGCATGAAAATAAATAAAAAAAGAAAAACGAAAGTACTGGTATGCAAGGGAAGAAAAAGTAGGGAAAGAGCGAATATAAAGATAGCAGACGAAAAATTAGCAGAATTAGCTGGTTTTAGGTATCTAGGAAGTCAATTAAGTCAGGACGGAAGGAGTAGTAGGGATATAATGCAGAGAATAGTGCAAGGTCAAGTCGCCTTCAATAAAAATAACTTACTTAATTTAGAAAGATTGTTTAAAGTGTATGTTTGGAGCGCGACGTTGTACGGGCCTACAGAGGACTACGGAAGTCAATAAGAAATAGGCGAGATAGATCGATAGGACACCATCTCAGGCGTGAAAGTTTAATCAGAGGCAGAAACGGGAGTTAGGAGGGGTAGAGGTAGACCTGGATTACGTTGCTGTTCGCAAATATTTAAGGATGTGGGTTGTTCTAGTTTCAGGGAAATGCGAAGATTAGCTCAGGATAGAAAAGGGTGGAGGTGTATGTCCAACCAGTCTTAAGACTGACGATCTTATGGTGATGATGATAAGGCAAGAAGAATAAATAAATGATAAATAAAATAAAGCAAACAGCACCACTACTAATATAATCGTAGACACATCACCTATGCCTTTGCAAAATAATAGGTACCTATGCAAGATTTCCGATTCTTTATAAAAATAAAGGAGTGATTTAGTTGTCGTGTTACTATAAAAAATAAACATGTTTGGAAGGTGAAAAAAATTCGCTTTGTTTTGATACTTTCTACATGAAATGAAATGTAGAAACAACAAAATAAAACTGAAAATTCTTCCATTTCAAACATATTTATTTTTTATGGTAACCCGACAACAACTTATTTGATAGGTATTATCATTCTAAATATAAAAAGCATAAATACTCTAATTTACCATTATTGTCAGTATATGTATGTATAAAATCGAAGAGGATGGAGGGTTGGACCATTTTCTCCAACTATGTCTTGTTTTAAAATTTGTATGATCATAGAGTCGTCAATCCTGAGACCGATGGTTGGACACGTACCTCCACTCATGTCAGTCCTTTTCTGAGCTAATCTTCGCATTTCCTTAAAACTAGAACAACCCACATCTTTCACTATTTATGAACACTAACCTAATCTATTGTAGTTCTCTTAACTCTAGTTTCTGCTTCTTATATGCTTTTAACTAGCCCTTCATGCCCCAAAACCTATTTCACCTATTTTTTATTGAGAGCCATAGCGCCCCTTGTTGTCCTACTCTTTCTAATATCTCCTCATTTCTAACCTTCTCTATTCACGGTATCCTTATCGTTTGCCTGTAGCAACATATTTCGATCTTTGTAACCTTTTCTTTTCCGACGCGCCCACCGTCCACGTTTCACACTCGTCCAGACCTTTAACAATACTTTTCGAATGTCTAAGTTAATAGTTTGAGAGCATATAAGTTACTTATTTTTGTAAAAAAATGGCTCGATACTGCACTATTCTGTGCTTGTATTTCTACTGCTTTTCCATTCTGGTTTAGCTGACTTCCTAGATATCGAAAATCAGCAACTTCTTCTACATTTTCGTCTCCTATCTTTATATTCATCCTTTCCCTACTTTGTATGAATAATAAGTAAATAAAACAAAAAACCATTGTTCCTATGTTGTAATTCCCAAAACCTCCTAATTTAAGTATAAATAGGAAAAGAAGTGGTCGGAAAAGGTGGATCACCCTAATAGATACCTATAATTTAAAGTAAATTGGAAATAGTTAAGACGTTTAAAATAGGTCAGTGAGCATTATAAGAAAATTATTAAACTAGGGCAAATTTGGCCACCAAGCTTTGGTATCTCCGTGCTGAATTTAAAAAGATCATAAAACTGTCGGCGACTCATGCAATCATCTATCGCACAAAGTCATTAATCTGTCTTTACAAAATATAAATCTTGTTTGAAAAAGAGCATGATCAAATTATACAAAGGATTCATAGACGCGCTTTAATGTCTGGGTTTTATGATTAAATAATTCATTCAAGTTGTGTATAGCATCATGGTGCATTAGTGCCATCTAATAGCACGGTTCGTTAAAACAAGCGCATGTGCCAACTTAGATCAATATAACCATCAGAGAAATTCTTGTGAAGTTTTCCCCATTTGAGAATCAGGCGCTATTTGAAACACGTATATAGTAGAAACGAACAGGGTGGTACGTAAATTGAGAAACGGAAAGAAACTTTTTTAAAGGAATATGGTAATGGCGTTAATGTGATACCAACAAACGTTAATAACCCTCTGATTTCAGTACGGATTTGTAAACTACGCTTTGGAACTTTTGGTAATTAAAACGTTTGGAGAAGATACTTGGGAAACTATTAAGTAAGTTTTGTGTTACAGTATGTTAAAGTTTTTCTCACGATTGTTCATTAATTTTGTGCGAATTCCTGACAAAATAAACTGTTGACTTATGACCGAATGGAGCTAAGAGAATTCGAATTTTGAAAGTTCATATGAACTTTTGTTGTAGTTTTTGCACTCAGATACAGACCAATTCAGCAAGTGTGTTGTTTAGGTTACTTCGAACTACATTACATTCTCATTTTTGCTTGTTCTTATAAATATATGTATCTAAATAAATTTTGTGAAACCGAATATTCAACGGATAGATTCTCGTAATATTTACTCTTTGTGAAGTAGACATACTGAAATTCATAAGAAGTGATAATTGAAAAATTATTAGGTTACTACTAAATAGCAACAAGAGTAACAACTGTAAATAAACAAAATTCAAAACATTGGCGAATGCGCTTGGCAGTTTGAGAATTGTATTTTTATATACTTTAGAACAAAACTTGTATTCGTACTCAAAAAATTAACATCAATCTAAATGAATATTATTTTAAGGAAAAATGCAGATGTTCAAATGGAGGGTCAGTTTTTGGCCCGTCAAATCTACGACGATGAAATTACCTACAATATTGTCTCAGCTGCTGTTGAAGTTCTCAGTAAGAATATCAGTAGTTAAGAGTGAATCGTTCTTCAACTAGAATTTGTTTGCAGATATTCCAGCAAATGCAATTTTGGAATTGTTTGGGAAAGCTTTTTTTGAGTTTTGCCAAGATTCAGGCTATGACAAAATCCTGCAAGTTTTGGGAGCAACACCTCGAGATTTCTTACAGGTTAGCTAAAATTTTTCTTCGCGTAGTTTTTAATGTTGTGAAACTTTGGAATTTAGTACGACTAGAACTTCGTATATGGGAATTTTTAGCTGTATTTATCCTGAAAAGCTTTTTAAGGATTTATTTTTAAAGTGAATCTATCGCATGTAGCATTACAGCTGGCCGCGGAGAAGGGGTAAAACTGAAAGGCACTCAGTAGAGTAACCAAGGTCAATATGCCGGCGCCATAGCTAACCGTGTAGCATTTATATTCTCACTCATTCGTGCAAGTGCATGACAATTACATTTATAGAATGTGAAACTCAAAGCGAAGATGAAATTATTGATAGAATAACAACCGAAGTTCAAAATGATTCAATTATTTAAATAAATATTGTTCTCAGCTTTTAATATGCGTCTAACATCTGGATTTATTATGTATTCCGTACTCTCATACGAAGATGAAATTCTTGATAGAATAACAACTGAAGTTCAAAATGATTCAATTATTTAAATAAATATTGTTCTCAGTTTTTAATATGCGTCTAACATCTGGATTTATTATGTATTCCGTACTCTCATACGCAGATTGAAATTAAAATTTATAGTTGGATATCTTGTCTACTATTGATTTTCCATTATCATAAATATTGTTCTCAGCTTTTAATATGCGTCTAACATCTGGATTTATTATGTATTCCGTACTCTCATAGGCAGATTGAAATTAAAATTTATAGTTAGATATCTTGTCTACTATTGATTTCCCATTATCATTTCCATTTTCTAATCATTAAGATAAGATTATGAACGCGATTTTAATTTTAATACCCTAAATCGAATAATTTTCCGAAAATTTACAGTTAAATGTCTACAATCCGAAAAGTTTCACTTGCATTGTTGTTTCATAACCACACAGCTTTTTAAGGATTTATTTTATATTCCTCGGATGGTAAGAAAGTAATAACGTATGCTTCTTGGAAAACAGCCAATAGCTTTTAGGCAAAAAAGGAAATAAAGTTGTTGGTTTACTCCTGACCCCGAAGGTTCATAAATTAGAATCAAGTACAATAGGTATCATGGAAGGCATAGTAAGATAAGGTTTACAAGACATTTTACCTACTTTCTGTTCTGAATTTATGTGTTTCTTTTGTCATCCTTTCTTTCTTTCCGAAACATAGGAAAATATTTTAGTACTATAGTGCCTAACTTTAGTTAATCAGTGTCTATTAATATTGTTGAACCTTTGATTATCAAAACAAAATAAATCTACAATGATTCTTTTGTAGAATCTAGACGCATTACACGATCATCTCGGTACTCTATACCCAGGTATGAGAGCTCCTTCGTTTCGTTGTACAGAACGTCCTGAGGATGGAGCGTTAATTCTCCATTATTATTCTGACAGGCCAGGCTTGGAACCAATTGTCATAGGTATCGTTAAGGTATCCACTATTCTAACTAAGACCTACTTTTAAGAATTACAATATGCAAAAAAGTAACAACGTTTTTATTTGTTGATTATTGAGTTTAGAACTAATTTTAGGCAGTAGCTAGTAAACTCCATCAAACTGAAGTTGAAGTTGAAATATTGAAAACGAAAGAGGAATGTGACCACGTTCAATTTCTCATAACTGAGAAAAGTAAACCTGATAGGACACAAAGTACAGAAATTGAGGAAATCGAAACACTATCACTTGGTAAGAGTTGAGAAGTATTCGAGTCTTAGCATTTATATGCATAACAGCTCTGTTTAAGCAAATGATATATACTTTGCTATGTGGTTTTAAGCCCCCCCCCCCGTGTAGAAGAAGAATAACAAGTATTGAAAATAAACAAAAACGAAATAATTGATAAGTAGCAATGAGACACGTTTGAATTTTTGTGGGGTTAAATTAACTTTATCCACTACTGATAACCTTCCTCGCCGGGAATCGAACCCGGGCCCCGCAGCACTACTTTCATTAATTTGAGGTTATCTGTAGTGAGTAAAGTCAATTCAAAATATTTCTTCACTAATGAATTGATAAATAATATAATCTAATTGTAAGTAGCCAGTTTCTAGAACATTCCTTGGATGAGAATTTACCTCCTCATATAGAATTGTAATGAGCAAACGTTATTAGGTCTTTAATAATACCTTACACGGAGAAAACTAAATTTTATGACAACGCAAAAATTACAATTTTCGATTGTAAATTACTGATTTTGCCGTAGAAATAGTAGAATTTATTAGGTAGGTAACTTGTAATAATCTCAATTTTGACATGTTTCTTCAAAAATTATTTCAAGTTCCTTAATTGTTACAATTTAATTTGTAATATCAACTAAAACACATAGTAAATTTATTTCTACTGGGATTTTATTTTTACAAATTCGGGTCCCAATTGTGATTTTTATTATTTTCGCTTACGAAACAACGGACTAGTGGGATAAATTGTAAATATCGCTTTAATATTTAGGTAAATTTTCGTTTCTCATTTTCTCCGTGTAGATATAATATTATTCGTCTGTACAATCATTCTGAACAGAAAATTGATTAAGTACTTACTATTATTTCACAGAACAAAAAGTAAGCCCAGCAACATTCTGTAAAGTGTTTCCATTCCACATCATGTTCAACAGAGACATGAAAATAATTCAAGCTGGTAATACAGTGACAAGAATCATGCCTAAAGTTAATGGAAATGATTGCAAGATAACGGACGTGTTAGATCCGGTATCTACATTTACATACAACAATATAATGAATGAATACGTGCATTCAGAGCACTTGCGGTCAAGCAAAGTTAATCGTAATTTAAAATGTACTGGTTCATGTTCTTTCATTGTCTGACTGTTATTAAACTGCTAGATATTGCAGAAAAATAGTACACGATCCTTTCATCTGACTAGAAAAATAGCCAATAAATCTGGTTTTTCTATGACAGTAGTAGGTCTGAAAACCCCAACGTCAAAACGACAGTAAGCGTCTGAAGTAGAGAGGTTTTTTTTGTAAAAAAACATCTTTTTTCTTATTAGGAATATCACCACAATATTGTGGATATATCCATTTTATTCTGAAATGATTCGTTTAAGGGTATTAAAAATTACATACTTTTCATAAAATGAAACTTCTATAAATATTTTTAGTTTTCTTTGAACATAACGTAGATTGAGCATCTAAATTTCCCAGCATATTTCACACCACATTCTTTACCATACAATTTCATAGTGATAAACAAAATTGGTCTTGGCCTTGGCCTTACAGTCTTGGTCTTAGTCTTGCGAAAATGTAAGACCAAGATCATATTTATGAGTTAAACTATTTGATGAAACTTTAAAATATTCTTTTCTTGGAACAGAATATTTTTAGTATTTGAAATTTTCAGTTTGTTGTACTAGATTTTAACACTAAATATAAAAACAGAAGCTTTACCACTATTTGAAAAAAGGGNGTTAGTAAATAGAAAAATTTGTGCTTAGAAGAATTATTAAAAAAAAAAAGTATCAGATGAAATAAGCAAGACCAAGACTAGAAGTTGAGCAAGAGGAAGACCAAAACCGAATAAGCAAGACCAAAACCAATAAAAAAATCTAGAACAGCCTTGGTCTTGATCTTGCTTTTTTCATCACTATATATCCCTGACTTTTATAGAAAATGAATTATATCCTTAGACATACCATAAAGAGTTTTAAGAAAGATTATGTTTGAACTATATGCAATTCAAAAATTCAACACCCACGTTTACTAAAATTATCCTCAGACCCTCGTGCAAATCTTGGCTCAAACTTAGTTTTAATAGTTTCTTTTTGGAAAAGGTAACGTTGTTATCGAAAAGAAATTCAAAGGCTTAGCGTCGTGGTTTGGCGTTGGGGTCTGAGCTATTTAGACTGTTCTCCAGTAATAGGTTATGAGAAATGTTGAATCCAACATCTTTTATATTTATAGTTTCCTCTATATGTAAAACATTTGTGTGACCGCATGTTGTACTCTTCTAATTGCAGTGAATGAATATGGTAGATATGACCGAAAATCCAAGGATCTGACAAATGTACTTTCTATTCAGGATATAAGTTATCTGAAAAAATTCTATTCTTAAATTTATGTCATTTCCAGTGGCGTAGCCACGGGGGAATTTGCAATATTCAATCCCTCTTCCTATCGATTAGGAACTGTTTTTAATTATGTTGCAGTCTGGGGGCTGTACAAAACAATAACTTTGGAAAGAGTTTTATTTGTCTGACATTCATTTGACTATTATATTATAATTAACAAATTACATCGTAAATCCAAGTCGGCAAAAGGAACATAACTCTGCCCCGTACGTTTAATTCTTTAATGCAGTTAAAAATAAACTATTCTTACTTACTTTTATGCTAAAAAATTGCAGGATTTGTCATTTTATTTTGTACTAACTTTTGTCTTGCTACTTCGCTCATCATCATAAAGTCGTCAGTCCTAAGACTGGTTGAACACGCTCCTCCGCCCTTTCCTATCCTGAGCTAATCTTCGAATTTTCCTAAAACATTCTTAAATATTTGCGAACAGATATCTAATCTAGGTCTACCTCTACCCCTCCTAACTTTCATGTCTGAGAAGGTATCTTATTAATCTATCTCGCCTATTTCTTATTGACTTCCATAGAGTCTCCTATTCTGTCTACCTCTTCTTTTCTAACCTTCTCTATCCACGGTATCCTCATCATTCACCTATAACACCACATTTCGAACTCTTCTATCCTTTTATTTTCAACCTCAGCAACCTTTTTTGAATTTGTAAATTAACCGTTTCGCGAGCATAGAAGTGACTTTTTTTTATTGACTCGACTCGACTCTGCACTTTCATCTGCTTTATATTCCTACTACTCCTTCCGTCCTGACTTATCTCACTTTCTAGATACCTAAAATAGGTCACTTTTTCTAATTTTTCGTCTCTTATCTTTATATTCGCTGTTTCTCTTCCTTTTCTTTGTATACTAGTATTTTTATTTTACTTTTATTTATTTTCATGCAATACTGTTTTGTCAATACCGCTTCCATTTTATTTAATGCTATCTCTAATTCCTTCTTGTTGGTGCTAATGCTGCTATATCATCTGCAAATCTAATCATATTAGTCTTTTGCCCATGTATATCTATCCCTACAGTTGTACTGCCTTTTATTATGATCGCGTTTTCCATGTATAGATTAAAAAGTAGCGGTGACAGTGTGATACTTCACTCTTGTAAAAAAGCAAATAGTCCAAATCACCCACTGCAAACTCCTCATATGTATTAGCTTAAAAAAGGCAGTTTGTATAATGTACATAATTGAAGCATTTAGCTTTTTTTATCGTAATCCTCCCTCTCTTTCGCAAACCAATGGCTACGGCACTAGCAATTTCATTTTGCTGTTATTGCAAAACCTGTATTTCCGTTTCTTCTTCGATAAAATTGACATATGTATGAAGCATCTCAATCAAATTCGTTTAATAATTGAGATTTATTACTGACTAACTAAAATTTCACAGCACAGAATTTGTCAGACATTTAGATTTTCTTTTTGTTGTTTTGTAATTGTCTAAATTGTTCCTGAGAGTATGTCCTAGTTTCCTGATGACTGATTAACATTTGCAGGTTCGTCCGCACTTGGAACTAACATTCGAAAACATTCTTTCACATATTAACACCATATACGTGTTGAAGACTAAAGGAGGCGTGATTCAAGCGAACGCGTCTCCAGAGTATAGATACTTGCGTCTGAAAGGCCAAATGCTGTACGTGCCAGAAACCGATGTGGTCATTTTTATCTGCTATCCCAGTGTAATGAACCTCGATGACCTCACAAGGTTGTTAATTTTATTTAATTCGATTTGAAAACCAAACCGGGAACTTCTCCATAAAAATTGAAAAATAACGCGACGTTTTCGTTGTCCAACAAGAATAATGTCGATACTTAAAATAAACTGCCTAACTACATACAGAATTTATCGATTGGCATTTATTTATTTATTTATTAATAGGCGTATCAATGCATTGATTAAATAAGAAAGAAGAAGGATCGGGTTTATGTGACCGGAATATAGAGAATTATTAATAGAATTTTCATTAAGCGCCTTTTCTAATAATTCATGCAACTACTTAAGTACCAAAGCGAATTATTATTTATTTATTCGATCAAGAATCTGGTAATAATTAATTCTCAAAACGGGACGTTCAGTTAACAGTATCCATTTACCTTCATTGCTTGCAATCCCAAAAGTATATTTGTAGGCAAAGTTATTCCACGTATACCTAATTATACAAAAACCGATCAACCTTTAAACAAAACAAACAAGCAAAATTGTTAGTTCTTTCTTCTAATAGCAGAAACTAAACTCTATCTTAATAATCATTCATTAATTGATGTATTATATGAGTGCCATTTTAGCAACAACGTTTTTGGAATGGTATGTATCCGTTATTATAAAAAATAAATGGTAAATGTCTAGATGATGGGGGAATGGGGTGGGGGTAGGGGGATCGAAAGAGGGTAGGGGGGTCGAAAGAGGGTGGTCACATGAGTAAAACCCCATAAAAATTGGGGCGATCTCACCCCCATAAAAAGTTATGGGGGTTGAAAGTTGATTATTTTGACAATTTTCATACACTATAATTCAAATAAAATTCAATAAAAAAAAATATTTTCAAGCGGGTGGAGGTGGAGGATCGAAAGAGGGTGGTCACTTGAACAAAACCCGATAACCTAACCTAACCTACCCTATTGATAAAGCTATTTAAGTAATGTTTTATATAACTTTCTTAATATTTTTATGTATTTTTCATTCATTTTACCTTTGAATATTGTTTAAGAATGACTATATAAATATTTACATGCTTAGAAATGTATAAGAATTGGCATATTTGTTAACTTTGAACCCCTATAACTTTTTATGGGGGTGAGGCCGCCACGAACTTTTTATGGTACAGTGTAGTGGGAGACCTCCTTCTTCGACCCCCCCATCCCCACCCCCTTCGGGGTGGGGGCCATCATCTAGACCTTTACCAAATAAATTTTTGATTTTTAATGCTGATGAAGGAATCGCATTGCTGATTTTAAAAATACAAATGAATGATAACATATATAACCGTGGTCCAGTTTGAATATTAGTTTTCAAATTTTCCTTCAAAGTAACGAAAGTAGTCATTTAATTTAAAATGAATCGATTTGTTGGGTTTTAGACGAGGACTATATATAAGCGATATACCATTACATGATGCTACAAGAGATTTGGTTTTAATGTCTGAACAATTCGAAGCCGATTATAAACTTACTAGAAATCTTGAGATTCTTACCGACAAATTGCAGCAGACATACAGAGAACTTGAGAGCGAAAAGCAGAAGACTGATAGGTGGTTATTCTAATTTTTTAAATGGTTTAGTTAACTATTAATGAATTCATGGTTTCCATATTTAGGATTGTTTACAATTTTATTTTTGATAGGTGTTTGAAGAAAATAAATTTTAAATAATTAAGAAACTCAAACTCATTTTCGGAACTTTATCATCTCTAAATAATTGTATTTATTTATATATTCTGATTCATTTATTTATTGATAAATCGACTGATTTTCTATTTTTTTGCATTAATTTTATCATCGCGAGAAGTTGTTTTTGAATAGAAATGGTATAATGACTTTGCGTAATGTTTGTTCTTCAGGTTATTGTACTCGGTACTTCCCATAACTGTTGCAAATGATTTGAGACACAAGAGACCCGTTCCCGCTAGAAGATATGACTGTGTGACTTTGCTTTTTTCTGGAATTGTCGACTTCTCCACGTATTGTGCAAATAACACAGATTCCAAAGGCGCAATGAAAACGGTACACATGCTTAACCAACTGTATACCGCTTTCGACGTTTTAACCGATCCTAAGAGGAATCCGAATATTTATAAGGCAGGTAGACAATTTATAATCGATCTTCCGTTTATATCTAATAAGTTATTTAAAATACTTACATTTTATATAAACAAGAAATCATAGCTTACATTAAATAGGCTTCGTCGTCCACTATACGTAGATGCTTTGAGAGCGACAAGGTCTCTTTATTAATGTTATTTTTAGTGTCCGACCGAAACAGCACTTTCTATTAAAACTTTAACCGAAATTTAATCTTCGGTATCTGTTACAGTTTCGGTCGAAACCGAATCCTAATTTTCAAATATATTGAAAACTATTGTTTACTGAAATGTAGCTTATATACCCTTATACAGACAGTTCAAACGTTTTAATTGAAAAAACATAAATGAAGTATGTGAAAAAGTGATTATTTATTTGAAATAAATTATTTCTTTCTATATTACTGCTACGAACTCTCCCGAAGTCAACCGAGCGACGTGCAATAATTTACGTAGGCAGAGTTTCGGTGCTGCTGAGGTTCCGTAAATTTTCTACCGAAACCGAAACTGATGCCGAAACTAGTTTTTTTTGCCGAAACTTGCCGAAACTGCCGAAACCGAAACCGAACCTTCGATCGGTCACTCGTTATTTTGCATGTGAAATCGTAATGCTTTGGCAGTTTTGTTAATATTTTACCATTTTATTAGAGCGTCATCGGCTTGAACGATTAGAAGTTTAATAACAATGAAAGATAACTTTTTCTCAAATTTTACATTTATTTATCTGTTTCAATTTAATACGATATCGTAATCAAATGCTTAAACCGGGTCCCACCTTCTTTTTTAAAAAATATTGTGGCATTTAGCCTAAATCTTATGATGTTATCTTACTCAATGATAAAAGAATATCAAATGAATTACTTCTGGCATCACGTTTGGATGACTAGACAAGTACACCTTGCAGTCATATCTGCACAATGAAGCACGAAGAAAATGTTTTAATATTCTCAATACTCAATTTGTAATTTGAAATTTTCATATTTGCTTCTTTTCTATCGATAAAAACAAAAAAACCGTTTAATGCAATTAAAAATTACTACTTTTTCGTATAAGTACTCATTCGTACACATTTAGTATTTAAATCGTACGCAAAACGTTTCCATACAATAAGGTACATCTAAGTTTGGTTTGCGACTCCTGCCATCATGCTTGTCATGTAAACTAAAATTAAGATAATACACCTGGGCCCTAATGATTATAACAAAGCGATATTTACCTCAAGCATAATTAGTTCGTATCTGCAGCTCATATGGGTTACTAGATGTCTATCGATTTTAGGTTGAAACAGTAGGCGATAAATACATGGCTGTTAGCGGCTTGCCAGAGCCATGCATTTCCCATGCTAGGAATATAGGAAGACTCGCCTTAGATATGATGGACAAAATGAAAGAAATCGCAATCGACGAAGAACAAGTTGTGAGTACATGTACATATATTGTATATGCTGCCTAGTCCAATCCTTTAATACTGTTCGGTTCTTGTTAATTGTATATAGTCATTGTGTATAGTCATTGTATATATTTTTGTAATATTAAGAAGACGTGCTGTAAGTTAAGTTTTATATTTATATTAGTTTACGATAGTTGTTAGTTTGTACAAATTTTTATTATCACTTTGAAGATATTTATTCATAGGCACGCCTGGGAATTTCTTTGAACTGGACATCAACAAACAGGGATGGTTCGCAAATGTACAATTACCTACTTCATAAACTTTTGCAAGCACCCGCTGTGTCGGCATCTTTTAATTCAAATTCAATATTTTTCAGAACCGAATGGGCGTTACCATCTCTGTTGTCGAAGGGCGTACCTACCCCTCTATGTATATATTAATTGTACCAATTCATAAAAGAGAGGACAAGTATTTCAACCTTAGTACCAAGAACTCGTAACGTGACATTTCAGTGACCATTTTTGCAACTTTGTATTTTTTCTGTACTTGTTTTAATTAAAACATAGCTCACGGTGTTGATGTGTTTATTTTGAAACACCAACACCGAAACAAATACATTAAAATACATTTGTTTAGTATACGAGCCTTTCTTCCTGGCAAATGTTTTATAGTTTAAAAAGTAGTAGGATGGACAATCCTAAGTCCTAATTCGGTAGAAGACGGGGAATATTTAGCTATTTTAACTAGTTTTTCTAACCCTTTCTCTCTTTTTTTATGCGAGAGGGACAGGAACGGAAGGGAACTTTTATCCGCCATATAGTGATGATCAAAGAAAGACCAAGACTAACTAAGTCTTGATATTGGTCTTGATCATTTTTATTAGGTCTTGGTCTTGCTCAAATACCTCTAGTCTCGGTCTTGGTCTTATTCTTGCATGTTAAGTCTTGGTGTTGCTCACTTAATCTGATACGTTTTTTTATTCTAATTATTTTTAGTCGATTATTCATCTCCACTCCACGCACCTCCACTGTTACCCTTCCTACTTAGAAACCCTTAATTCTGATTGAATTACTCATTACTATCATTTCTCATCTATCCTATTGCTATACCAACGCTCCACACGACAAGTGGTCGAGAGACAGTTGGGTGTAATCGAATGACCAGACCATATATAACAGGTCAATTAAAAAGTCCCCGGCCTAAAATAGTAAAACACATTTTTTTGCAAAATTCGTTTTTTTATTCAACATAATTCCCTTCAAGGGTGATACACTGATTATAGCGATCCTCCAACTTTTCGATACCATTTTTGTAGTACGATTTGTCCTTTGCTTCAAAATAGGCCTCACTTTCGGCGATCACCTCTTCATTCGAGGAAAATTTTTTCCCAACGAGCATTCTTTTGAGATCTGAGAACAGGAAGTAGTCGCTGAAGCTCAGATCTGGNGTTAAAAGTTATATGTATTATACAATCATCATTTAATTGCAATGCAATTTTCAACTGGTACGAATATCTTATGTTGAAATTGAATTACGTTATTTATTTTTTTTTTTGTAGAAAATAACAATAGGTATTCATTCTGGTGAAGTTGTAACAGGAGTAATTGGGCACCGTATGCCTCGATATTGTTTGTTTGGAAATACAGTCAACTTAACCAGTAGAACTGAAACAACTGGAACTCCAGGACGCATTAATGTATCGGAAGATGCCTACACGTAGGTATTTTTTCACCTTTTAGGGTTCCCGTCTCAACATGAGAAAAAGAAACCTTTAGCGTTGCATTTTGTAACGTGTGGAGGGGTGGGATGAGTTTGGATAAGGGTACGAACTGCGCCAAGCTTTAATTTCATAATTCTTACTAAATACAATTATTAATCCTTGACATTTATGACTATAAATCGCTAGATATACTTGATTATTATATTGTACAGGTATGAATTTTTGTTTGGACCAGCGGTCTTAGTGTTATGGAAATTATAAAAGGGGTAAGCACAGAGACGTCGAAAGTTTTGGGAAACTGCTTTAGAGAATCAATTTGTTATCTTGTTGATTCACTGACATTTCATTAAAATTGATATGTTAATTTCTGTTTGATTAGAATCTTGAAGTTTCAGACAAAGATGTATTTATCAGAAATTTTATAGTTTTTGCAACAGAATTTTTGCCAGCCTTCAAAAATTTCAATTGCAGCAGTTTTTAAAATATATAGGGGTTTATTTCTTTTGCACGATCTTTCGGATATTCCCAGAGATGTGCCGTTCATAGGAAAAGGTTCTTGATGGACAGTATTTTGTTCAAACTTCTATATATAGATTGCGATTTCGAATTCATTGGATTTCATTAGCACGCCGTAGACAGCTACGATATAACACTTTTATTTTAACCTCGAGGAGGAGAAATCTTCTAAAGACACCCTCCAAAAGGGGGGGGGGCGGTGTTGTATTCACTCCTGATTGGAGCGCCTACCGACTAACAACCCTCCTCGAGTTGGTACATCAACCTGGTAGTTATATCTACCGGGAGAACATGAGAGAAGTTTGGGGAAGGGGAGAGGGTTGAGTAGAGATAACACAGACTACTCTACCTGTAGTATTTAAAGGCGTTCAATAAAAATGTAATGACAGCGTGATGAACGCCATCTGTGCAAAATACCTCCCTACTTATTATCGACAAACTGAACCCACGGCGTAGTAGCTACTAGATAACAGACACTTAAGCAAACAGACTAAGAAGTACTTGATGTTCGGTGTTTTGTAGAAAATTACATACAATGTGCTGATGAGAACTAAAGAGTTCGTCTGATGTTTTTGACAGAGAACTGACCCAAACCAACTTTCGGCTAAAATTATTTATATTTTATATAAAGAATATTAAGTACATCTTTTAAACATATTGTTGTTTATATACACTTACTTATATGCAGATACGTATTATATTATTGCAATCGCCAAACCTGTATATAGACAAATCGCCATTGCGGATCTTCGTTAATAATTGATGATTCGTTAATCCATTAGATCTAAATATCTCTGCAGGACTTCTGGAATTGGTAAAACTCTTGTACCGAAAGGCAGCTGATAATTGAGCCACAACACATGTCTAATTTGACATCTACATAAATGTTTCAAATCGGGAGGTTCAATTCCGCATCTGTTTATTGGAATAATACCGTCGTCAATAAGATTTGGAAAATGATCCAAAACGTAATCCCTTTGTACATTTGCTCCTTCTTTGTATCCTTCTACCGGTAATGGTTTAATATTAATAGTTGGAATAACGCGCAGCAAAAATATTAAACAATCGACCAAGTTGTAGGGATAAGAATGGTTAAATTCATTTAATCTGTTAAGAAGGGACTCCACAATAGTAGCATTACCACCTTCGTCGCCTGTTACAATTGCTCCAAAACGAAGCAGAATATGAAGTTTATCAGGTACTCCGTATTGCACCAGTATTTTTGCTGGTGAAACCCTCCCGCAACATTCTATCGGAACATCGATAAACCGCTGGAGGATATTTCGATTTTCACAATGATATTCTAATCCTGCGGTCGACGCGTGATCCAAGTAATAAACTACTGCTCGAAGATTTTCTTCTTGGTCTGAGAAGTCACTTTTCCAACCGGCAATGAAATGGGAAGCCCTCGTTCCAAAAATCGCTCCGACCCATAATCTTTCGAAAGTTTTTTCGCATCCATAAATATGATCTAAAAGAGCGGCAACAGTCCCGGCATCTTTCAACTGCCAATCGTAGCAAAGTTTGAGACCAACGTAAAGGATATTGTGATATTTTCCCATCAGGCATACGCCTCCGTTTTTGTTCTTGTGGACGTGATGAAAACGAACTATTGCCATTATGGCATCTCTGCATATTTTTTGGGGATCACCTGCAGATCCTGAAAATATAAACGACAGAAATTAAGAGTATTACCAAACATTAAGCCAGAAATTAAAATGCAACTTTCTTGCATAAGCGAACCTCAGACAGATATTAGAAACATGAGGCTATATATTGTGTTACCTACAAGCATGTACATGATAATCAATACATTGACTTCCGACGGCTGTTGAGTATGCCCGCAGGCAGGTACCGGTCGAAGGTTGGCAACCAAGAAGCCGAAAGTAATAAATTATACCCTGAGTGACACATATTTACCGCTTAGTAATAGGAGTTCTAGAATTTTTGAGAAAAGTAAGGACTGTTCCGGAGAATTCAATAATAATTACTTATAAATAGGCTTCTTGGTGGTATTAACATATTGTCGTAAGATTTAAGAATTATGTATTTATAATTTCGCTTATGAGCTGTAGATGTATAAATAACAAAACAGATTTTATTAGCATACAGAAAGGGTAGGATTTTTTGGAAAGTTAAGCTACGTCTAAATGCAATTCTAAATTTGTTTGAAGGTAGTCTTCACAATAGGATTAAGGTGGGTTTTCAGAAATATTGTCTGCTAGATTTATTATCTGGTGTTCTAAGCAATAAAAGCTATAAAATTTAATGATATGTGACAGATAAATACGTTCCGATAAAGTAACAACGTTTTCATTTATTTTATATAATATAAACATACCTCGACAACATCCTTCAATTAAAGTATTAAAATACTGTACAGTTGCCTTTCTTCTATAGCAGGCATGTAAAGTATTCCTCTCTAACTCGAGGAACTTGTCAAAGAAACATTTTAGTAAGGCATCCATTTAGTTGTCACAATTTTTTCAAGGAACTTTAAATTTCCTTATTTGCGTAACTACGCAACAATAATTATTTTAACTTCTGACCAATATATAGCAACATACCGGTTACTGAAGTCATTGATTGTTGGAGTATTAAAAGCGATAGAAGTATAATTGGATTGGATAAGGGATGCCATACAAAAGCTTACTACTAATATGTTAGCATTCATTGTTGAGCATCATACATAAATATTGTATACTACGTGATCGAATAATCACTGGGGTTAAAAAATTAATAATAATATAATTAATTTTTAATACTATAAACTACCCGAGATAAAAATGTTCAGTCTCTCAGAGTCTTTAAAAGCGAGACTCGAGTCTCCGTCTCTCATCGAGTCTCTCTGGTGTCGCTGAGAGTGACTGTCGAAAGACTGTCAAAAAAACTGTTTAGCGTCTCTGAATGAGAGACTCGAGTCGCTCATAGAGAGATACTCATTTTGTATCCAGTCACTGAACGAGAGACTCGAATCTCTGAACGAGAGAGTCGAATCTCTGAATGAACAACTTTATCGTTCGAGTCTTTCATACAGAGACTGTGAGAGATCCATAAAAACACCTAGGCAATAACTGAGAGACTGTGAGAGACGCTCTCAGAGACGCTGAAAGACTCTGAGGGACTGGAGAAAGACTGAAAATTTTTGTATAGGGTAGGGCTGGAAAAAATGAAACAATCGAGAAAACTGTTATGTATGCATGTATGTTGGGATTGTAATAATTCTAGGAACTTACCCGACCGTACCGTTTAGGTAACTTCAGGTGTTTAGGATGTTTTGAATGGGACTGATATGTCTATAGCTATATAGCTCTCAAATAATAGGACATAATCTGATTTATTTTTGAGTTGTCGGTTCAAAAGAGATTTTTGTTGAAAAATATTTAAAAATTTGGATACGTAATTTTAAATATTTTTCAAGCGAGTTATAACAATGTTTTTCTTATGGAAAGCGGCCGGGACCATCAGGAGAATGTGTCTGCTCAAGAGAGCTGTTAGTAAAGGGAGATTTCACTGTATACAGTTACTAAAAATAATCGATTACTACTAGTGATGAGCAAAGCAAGACTAAGACCCAGACTATTCCAGTGTTGGTAGTGGTCTTGGTGTTGCTCATTTAATCTGATTTTTNTAATACTATAAACTACCCGAGATAAAAATGTTCAGTCTCTCAGAGTCTTTAAAAGCGAGACTTGAGTCTCCGTCTCTCATCGAGTCTCTCTGGTGTCGCTGAGAGTGACTGTCGAAAGACTGTCAAAAAAACTGTTTAGCGTCTCTGAATGAGAGACTCGAGTCGCTCATAGAGAGATACTCATTTTGTATCCAGTCACTGAACGAGAGACTCGAATCTCTGAACGAGAGAGTCGAATCTCTGAATGAACAACTTTATCGTTCGAGTCTTTCATACAGAGACTGTGAGAGATCCATAAAAACACCTAGGCAATAACTGAGAGACTGTGAGAGACGCTCTCAGAGACGCTGAAAGACTCTGAGGGACTGGAGAAAGACTGAAAATTTTTGTATAGGGTAGGGCTGGAAAAAATGAAACAATCGAGAAAACTGTTATGTATGCATGTATGTTGGGATTGTAATAATTCTAGGAACTTACCCGACCGTACCGTTTAGGTAACTTCAGGTGTTTAGGATGTTTTGAATGGGACTGATATGTCTATAGCTATATAGCTCTCAAATAATAGGACATAATCTGATTTATTTTTGAGTTGTCGGTTCAAAAGAGATTTTTGTTGAAAAATATTTAAAAATTTGGATACGTAATTTTAAATATTTTTCAAGCGAGTTATAACAATGTTTTTCTTATGGAAAGCGGCCGGGACCATCAGGAGAATGTGTCTGCTCAAGAGAGCTGTTAGTAAAGGGAGATTTCACTGTATACAGTTACTAAAAATAATCGATTACTACTAGTGATGAGCAAAGCAAGACTAAGACCCAGACTATTCCAGTGTTGGTAGTGGTCTTGGTGTTGCTCATTTAATCTGATTTTTATTTTATTTTCAATAATTCTTCTAAGCCCAAATTTTTGTATTTACCGACACAATAATTGTCTTAAATGCTGAAATTTTTTGTTATACATATGAGCTAGTCATGATCTTTTAAAGAAAATAGAGTCGATAATTGTGAGAGTTATGAAAACTCAAGACTTACCTTTCTCCAACGCATAAATTGACCTTTTAGCAAATAAAGTAGTAGGTACAAGGTACTTAAGAGAAGTAACAAATGTCAAAAAAAATTAGTTTGCCTCTATATTACAACCACGTGTTATCCAGACATAGGAACAAAGAACACATACTCCGAGGATATTCCTGTAAAACCGTTTTTTCAAATAGTGATAAAGTTTTTTATATTTACTAATGTTAAAATCTGGTAAAGCAAACTAAAAATTTAAAATACTAAAAATGGTTAATTCCAAGATAAGAATATATTGAAGTTGGTTCAAATAATATAACTCAAAAATCCACCGGAAAGAATCATTTTTCGTTTTAGTTTTGGCTTTGTTCGTTTGGTCTTGATTTTTATCTTGGCCTTATGCTTTCGGTCTAGGTTTTATTCTTCGTTTATCTGTTGGTCTTGATCCTAATAATTGATTATATTTAATTAATTGGTTGTTAAACCCTACTTTTTTAAATTGCTTCAATAAAATTGTTTGATCTTTTAGGCAACATTCCGTTGTTATAAACATTGTTAATTCCCAATTGACTTATTCATAGACCAACTAAACCGGTAAAAACTTTTTTTTTCAAATAAATAAATGTACCAAAATCTAAATTGGTGTCCCACTTTTATTTAAAAGATAATATTTCGTTTGATGCATTTTGAAGAGCTTTGTATTGTAGATTTCTATGTCGAGAGGATAACTTCGATGAGCAATTCTGCTTCGAATATAGAGGTCCAGTAATTATGAAAGGAAAATCTGAGCCAATGAAAGTCTGGTTTTTATCACGAGCAGCCAATAATAAGGATTGCGATGCATCTCCGTAATTACACTTTAGTTTCTATTCTAAACACATGTGGTGTAATAAAGGAAGTTTACATGTACATTGATTTAATAGAGGTCAGTGTAGAATCAGTATTTAGAAACTCATTCTGTCCTTAATGATTCCGAACTGGATGTTTTAGTAGAAAAAGAATTTCTCGTTCATAAAAGGCTATTTATATTCAGATTGATGTAAAGTGCTACATGTATATGTATATTTCTAAAACAGACACAAGAAAAAGAGCCACATCATCGTCATTAAATTCGCTGTTGATGAACTGCATTAACGGTTAAACAGATGGTTAATAACAATGATAATAATAATGTTGTCTTCGTATATAGTACAATTTTAGGTGTACTAAGTAATTTCAAGAAAATTAAATCCAACAATATATGTATACCTATTCTATACTAATTCAAAAATAATTTATAAATAAGTACTTAAGTTCAAAGTATTTTATTTTATGAATGGTTAATGTATATTTATAAATAAATATGACAGTTAACTTATATTTAATTAATATTTCCATGCCGATATTAGCCATTACTTTCTATTTCCACCTAAAGGAGCCAATTAAGGAAATAATTAATTTTTTCAATTTAAATCATGTACCTATGCAGTGTTAATTACTTGTACAAGGTTCACAATTGTCTTGACTGGTGTCCTTTTAACAGGTTTTTACTTTACAAATACTGTCTAAAACAATTGAAATTACTGGTAAATTAGTAATTCAGTTAAAATAATTAATCCATTATATTTATTTCCGAATGAATTCTATTATACTAATTCCAGTACAATTAATTATTTTACTAACAAACAAAATAATTCGAAGTCGTCTGTATTCTGTCGAAACTGCCGGACGCGGATCGCGATTTCGATCTTTTTGGATCTCATCAGCGCATCGCAGGCAGCTCCGCCAGAACACAGACCAACCTTTACCTGCTGTCTTAACAGCGCGTTTTCGAAAATACCACAAATGGCGTGGTGAGCGCCATCTGTAATACGATGCTACATTTGAGGACTACGTATGCTCCACTAACAGGTAAAAGTTCTAAAATGACAAAAAGGTTTTTATTTAGTTCAACGTAAATATGAAAAAGTGTTGGATAGACAGAATATTTTGCCGCTTTCTTTCAGTTTGAAATAAATAGACATTTTTATAGTTCTTAATATTTGCTTGCCTAATGGCCAAAATTTCCTCGGCCGCATCCTTTCTAGGTGCAGTGACCGCTTAGCTGTGGATTGTGATTGGACTAGTTAAGTTTATAATAATTTTTCACTTCTGTAAATATTAAATTTTATCTTTTAAAGTAGTTCTTATATAGAATCGCGGGAGAGAACACTTACTCCTTGGGCAATTATTTCATATTCATATTTAATCATATTTTCATTAGTTTATCGTTTTAATCGTTATTTCTAAGTTTGTGTTTATTGAATTCCTTTAAATTAAAATATAGTTACTTACGTTTTCGATTATAAGAAGAGAAGTTCAGTTGTTTTATTTCATGTGGTACTCAGTATACCCACTTGATGTTAGTTTTTTTAAAAAAAACTTATTCAACGACAAAACAAAAGTAAATGATAAAACGTTGTTGTTATGGTTTTTAATAAATTCGTCAACTTTTTTAGCTTGTCTATAGTCCAGTCGGTAGAGAATTTTCCCGACATAAATTTGTTACCAGACGGGAGTTGTTTCTTGTTGTAGGCGGGGAAAAATTAAGAATCCTTTAAACTTCGAAAAAGTGTGTGTTAACAAATTGGGGTGGTCCAAAGTTAGCAGAAACCAGGTTTTTAGATCTAGAAAGCAAGGCATACCTTTAGAAAAAAAGTTGCAGATAAAAATTATAGAGAAATTAAATACATATTCAATTTGAGCCGCAGTACGATCAATTTTATAAATTGCTTATTGCACAAATACCAAAAAATCGTCAAAAATTGCCATTTCTGTATTTTGATTGTTTATTACAAAATAATTTTTTATCACATTGCAACAAAGGTTTTTAAATTTGAAATCGAAGTAGCTTTTGTGGGCGTTAATTGGTCAATTTGTTAGTAAATTATTGTTAATTGGTTATCTCAACGGACATGAACATTTATTGCCGCAACCATCAGAATTTGGACAGTAAGTACCATTGTCGGTGATGCATGGCACTTCAGACATTCCGTTTAGGGAAAGTTCTCATCATCATGAGAAGGTGTCCTACCAACCTATCTCGCCTATTTTTTATTGACTTCCATAGAGTCCTCTGTTCTCCTATTCTTTCTAAAACCTCTTCATTTCGAACCTTTTCTACCCACGTAATCCTTATCATTCGGCTATAACACCACATTTCAAAGGCTTCTAACCGTTTCTTTTCCGCCGCGCCCACTGTCCATGTTCCACACCCGTACAACGCCGTGCTCCAAACATACACCTTTAACAACCTTTTTCGAATTTCTAATTTAACCGTTCGCGAGTATAGAAGTGACTTCTTTTTATTAAAGGCGGCACGACCTTGCGCTATCCTCTGCTTTATATCCCTACTACTCCTTCCATCCTGACTTATCTGACTTCCTAGATATCTAAAACCAGCTACTTCTTCTAATTTTTCCTTATATTCGCTCTTTCCCTACTTTTTCTTCCCTTGCATACCAGTGCTTTAGTTTTACTTTATTTATTTTCATACAGTACTGATCTGTCAGTACCGCTTCCATTTTATTTAAAGGTATCTCTAGGTCCTCCTTGCTAGATGCTAATACTGCTAAATCAACTGAAAATCTAAGCATACTAATTTTTTGCCTCTGTATATCTATCCCTACAGTTGTACTGTCTTTAATGATGTTGATCGCGTCTTCGATGTATAGATTAAAAAGTAGCGGTGACAGTGTGCATCCCTGTCTGACTCCCTTTCTAATATTTACTTCCCTACGTTGCATCCCTAGCTCTATAACTGCCTGTTGCTCTTTATGCAAACTAAGTATCACTCTTCTATCTTTGTAACTCATCCCTACATTTTTATGTATATTTAACATCTTGTCCCATTTAACATTGTCAAAAGCTTTTTCTAAATCTACAAATCCTATGTACGTACTCTTTCTTTTTTCTATCGTTTTCTCTATTGTTATCCGTAAAGCTAGAATGGCCGCCCGCGGGAAAGCTCTACCCAAAAAAAACTATAGTGAGTATAGACATTTAAACTCGCCTATTTTATTTCAACTGCTTAGTTCCACCACGAATACGTCAAAATCAGGAGTTTTTAATTAATAAATCTAATTAAACGATAACACCCTAGATACCGATAGTAGGCCCGCCTAACCAACGTTGTTAATAGTCCGCTAGTTGCAGAATTTTGTATTATGAGAGGAGATAGATAGATACGATTTGATTACAATGTTAGATACCCCTCACATTTTATCACTGGTTCGTGCTATTTAAACCAAACTTAATTATCAAATATCAAAAATGTACTTTTCAATAATTTCTTTCAAATACCGATTATCCTAAACTTATATCCTATTTCTTGTAACTTGTATTAATTTCCTTTTCCATTTTTTTTATGTCATTAATTTGCTGGCTAGTCTAGTTTAAAATCACCCCTTTTTATCATATTTCATCCTATTGCTGTTCGCTTGTTACTGTCAACTGTGTACTTAAAACCCCTTGTTTATCGTTTGTGAAAAAACTCAAGATTGTTTTACATGTCCATTTCAGTTTCAAAATTCATTATTGATAAATTTATTGCAGTTTCACATCTCAACCTTTTTCTTTCTATGCCTCAACGAAAACCGTATATATAAAATGTCTAAAAGCATCTTCGGGTAAAAAACAGTTGTATGTTTTAAATAAACTGAAGTCAGTTAGTTGCAGTTTGGACCTTCACGTAATCGGAACTTTTAGTTTTTAACATTTTCCCTTGTACAACCATCACTAAAACAAAGTAAGGGACAAATAAATTAGTTTAAATTTATTTCGCTCGGCCCTTTTCTTATTTTGAAGTTGTTTATTGTGTCGGCAAACACAACAACAAAGTCTACCTGGTGTCGGAAAACCTGACAACAAGACAAAAAGGCTTTCCTTTAAGTCGCTTAATAAAGTCCGATGAAATTCTGCAAAACCTACTTTTTAAAAGTTAAATTTTGGAGATAGAGAAATTCTAACTGTTCGACTTAAGAATGACAGGTTTGGTCATTGTTATAACAAAATCATACCCTTGTTTCTTCAGGAAACACCTTCCAGTGTATTTCCGACCCTTACACTGACAACACGACATGTACATCGTACCCTTGATCATAAATAACTATTCTTCAAGTAGTTATATTAGTTTTATAATAACTAGTTCTTCTCTCCTATCAGTTACTATTAGCTCGAAATTGTTAGCACCGTTGCTTCGAGTGGTAGAAATTAACTTTTTATGAACAAACTATGACATACTATCGGCCACCATTCTTTTCTAATTGTCACTGTTGTCGGCCATTATGGTTTTTTAATAGATGTATAGTAATCAATGATTAAAATTTAAAGGAATTGTTTGTAAATAGGTATGCAACACATCGTACATTTCAGCATAAGAAATTGCTGATACTATCTACGTAATACTACTTTGCCTGTGCTGACAGCTCTCATAATTTCTTTTACATATAATATTATAACCTGTTCTTAATAAACTTTCTAGTCATACCGTGCTTATGTATACACAACAAAAGAAAAATCATTTCATCCAGTTGCAAATTTTTTTTCGTTGCTTCAATATTTTTGTGGAACTAATTTGTAGCTATTGGTTTTTACTAGGAATAGAAATTTCTCTTTTAAATCATGTGTCACCTGCTCGTCAAAAATGGCAATAAAAACGATTCATTTCATTCAGTAAAGTTAATTTTTTGCTAATTGATACACGTGCAAAGCTCATTATCTATCTATATATATATATACATATATTACGATATCAATCGTAGGTAGATCGAATATCTCCTTGTACTACTTCATAAAATAATATCTAGTTACAAATGGCCGCAGAAAAACGCGTGAATATAATGTAGAATGTTGTTTTTTCCTTAAGTTATGCAAAGCGTACACATGTTTTCCGAGTTTCGAAATGTAATGAATTTTAATTAGTCTTTGTAATTCTCCGAACCGTCAGACCTGTGTGCGTGCCAGCTCAACAATCAAACAACTGCTAACAGCAAGCTGATCTTTATTTGATATTATAATGCAAAGTGCTGTTGCTTTTGAATTAATTAGTGAATGATTCTCAACATTCTACCGTGCCTACCCGAGATACAGATTATTGACTTTAATTGGAAAGATAAGAAAGCATTTTACTAACTAATTTTCAGATGAAAGTTGATTTGAAGACGAAAGTTGTTTATTACCGTTACTCATTTTATTTTAACTTAATTATTTC